AACTATATGTTAAAAAGTATCTACTTAAGCAATAAGAAGTGTACCGGTTCAGAGTGTTCCACTCTGGCCAAATGCTTTCCACCTGTAGACGCTGCAGAGTTTCCCCATGGCACAGCCGTGCGGCTCTATCAACTACCACAATTATTAAAATTGAAAACGGCTCAGTAACACAGGCGGCTAGATCATGGATGGAAATAAGCAATTTTGGCAATCAATTTTTTTTATCGGCAGAAGGTGCATCTGCAACGACACATTCTGTTTGAGTATTGAACATTGAAACTGTAACTAGAAAAAAGCAGACCGGTTTGTGGAATACACAGGTTCATAAAAGTGCTACATGTAAATATACAGGATACGACTCAAAACTATATCTCCACGTATATTTTCCTAACAGTGAGGATTGTAAGATTATACATACCATGAGAATTGCTTCTTAAATGTACAGTCATGAGGCTCTAAATATCGACGTGAAAAAAAAACATTTTGTCGTGAACTATAATTCACTACTTCAACTTTCTAAATTCCCCTCCACCTTTTTCCACCCAGAAGTATAAATAAGTATACCACAGTCGATGTGCTGGTCACGTGTAGTGGGGTAAAGTGTGGGTACTCCCACCTGTTCTAAGATGTCTCTAAAGCTCATTCTAGGGGGGGGGGCTTCCACCAGCAGTGGTGTGAGAAATAAATGTGCACAAAATTAATTCCACAGAATGAACACCGATTCTTAGTCTCACTACACATGCAAGGAACCACTGTAATGAGAATAGTATTATTTAATTGCTAATGAACATATGCGATTCGTTCATGTGACCTCTGCAAGCTACTACCGACACTGTCAATGAACCGAAATGTTATGCATATCATTTATTATTGAATCGAATCACAATGCCATATCATGACAAGTCTTTGAATCGTCATTGCTCGTCTCATAAGTTATATGGTTAAAATATCACTCGCCACAGATGTTAGCCATGACCAGGAACTGAACTCAGTTGCACAGGCTTCACAATGCACATCTGTTATTTTCTTAAAAAGAACTGCAATAACGAAATCTCCAAACATATGTGTCAACTACTGACACTGGACATGTATGCAAATGAGATGTACCATCTGAAAGAATTATCCAGGTGAAATATGTGCATAAGTCTCCGCCCCCCCCCCCCGTCTTCACCCACCCATGCTGGCTAGTGTGGTGAAGTATGGTCAAATAACTCAAACGGCCCGCACGGCGTGGGAAGGGCCCTCATCCAGCAGTGGATTGACAAAAGGTGCTGCGTGTGCAGCTAACAAAAAAATCTTTTCCGCGCGCAAATAATCGCATGATGATGACAATATGATGATGGCGAAAACGTGTTTTTTTTTTGTATTGAGAGCTCAAATCCTCTTTTCTTTCACGTGCCCCCATCAACATTTACGGGTCCTGCTCGGCAGCCACGCAGATTTACATACCTTGGGCGGAATGTTGCGCATGATCTCCCAGCGGCAGGGAGGTGCAAACGATGATGACACGGGACCAACACTCGTTTTTGTGCTGCACCCAAATGTGGCTGCCTGAATTCGAGCCACATTCAATAGCTAAGCGCAAAGCTATTTGGACCGTTTGGAATTAAAACAGTCAAGCTCTTTACATTGGCATACGTTGTGTGTGTACGGCGGGGTAAACTTATCAATGGAGCAGCATTCACATTACACCATGGGTTTTCTTTCTATTTGATCTTTTAAAGGGCCGCTTTTGTTTGGAACTATATACCAATCTATGAATTTAATTAGTTTCATGGTTACTATGAAAAAAAACATCTTCCATTTAATAAAAACAATCCATATATATAATTAATATATCAATTCTCTACTTTTATTTATTTACCACGACTATAAATGTATAAAATCCTCGTGAAATTATGAGACACGTGTGTAAAATAGAAACAGAATCTACATAATACATTTCACAAAGCACTAAACTGGAACTTTCAAACTAAGTACCGTGTCACACTGTGATACTTTAAAGCCACCACACCTGTGGGTGCCCTCACTATTAGAGGCTAAAAGCTTCGTGACAGAAAAGTCTCAAGGAGTCTAAAATTTCAAACGAAAATTTTCACTCATATGCAACAGATTTACGAGAGCGAAGTTAGAGACTTTTCCCCGGCATGTACTTCTCTTTTGCCACAACCTCCCAGACACTGACATTTTCAATAGAAAAGCGACAAGGGGAAAATTCTGACGCATGTTAATCCCCCTCCCCTGAAAAACACACAAGAATTCCTCTGCAAAGGCATAACACATGCGGACTGTGTGCAACAGCAAAGCAGCGTGGTGAACAACAGCACTGCCTGCCTGCCTGCCGCCACGCTTCTCCCCATCTCACTCGGCACCCCCTGTCCACCCCCTCTGACCCTATCCGCCCCCCCACACACCTCTCACTATTTCGTCCGCTCCAACCGCCTACCACTTCCCCTTTCCTTTGCCCCCCATGCCCCCCCCCCTCTACCTCCCCTCCCCAGGAGGTGATTTCCCTTGCTGCCACTGAGAAACCTCACCTACACTAGCCCTCGACGAGCCCTGGCCTCGTGCCAAGCCAGCCAGGGTGGATGCTTATTGTGCTGCGGGCGCCGATGATCGCGTGCACTCACTGCGAGGGTGTTTCTCGTGTTCGGGAGTATAGACACGGAGAGTCGTCGGCCAGGGCAACGCCGACGTACGGGTCAAATCTTAAAAAACGAGCCGGGCGATTACTGAGAGCAGGTCGGTCCCGACGGGCTCCCCCCCGCACGTCACGAAAGACAAAACGCTTAAGCAGTTCCTGGAACACCGTGTGAGCGAACTCCAAACTCGAGCGACGAACATCTACATTCTGCAGCAGATGTGCAGATGTGCTCGGGTGTCCCAATCGCATTCAAGAGTTTGGAAATAAAAACACGATGGAAAATGTCCTGTTGCTTCTGTTACGTGCGTGTGGAGTTTTTTCTGGTAAAGGTTTTGAGGATGAAGGTATTGACCGAGGGAAAAAAAGATGTAAGCTACTTAGAACTAATACGCGAGATGTTTGCTCAGCCAGCCCTTAAATGAAATGCTGGCTGTGGCAGTAGACATCATTATAATCACAACATCTACTGTTGCTAACTTTGTTTTCACCTCATATGGAAAATTATGTAAAAGCCCCATTTCGTATATCAGCACTGCAATGTATTCACAGTGATCCACTTCGTAGAACTCACTTCACTGTGAATCCAATGTCACATGACTGCGTCCTTAAACAAACATTTTCTATTTGCTGGTACATACATTTCATCCATCACTTGGATTCCAGCGCACATTGCAATAACCTCAGGGGATAAACATTGTGAACCCCGTGTAATGGACCAGTTAAATAAAATCGTTGGTTGCATTGTAGATAAGGTTAAGTGCAATATAAACCAATAAAGAGCAGCATGCAGCGTTATGAGATGCGATCACATTCAGGCGTTCTGTAAATTCAAAGAGTAATCATAACTGTAATTATATTATCAGCACGGTCTACACTGATGAGCAAAATGATAACACTCTGGAACACACACAACGTGCATAATAGTTGCCTTATTCCTGACTATTGCATACAACATAGTTACATATGCATGTACGTACAATTCTGGAAACCACAAAACTAGCAGCAGCAGTAATTGATCTCGCACCTCCGATTAACACGGGTGGTTACGTACAGTGCGAAAGAAGTTCAACATACATACATGTGTAATGACAGGAGAGCCTACATGCGCTGTGAGTGGACTAGTGGCCACGGGAAGTAATGTCAGAAGAGTCAGACTGCAGTCCGAATGCACTCGTGGCCACGGGAGGTAATGACAGGGGAGTCAGCCTGCAGTCCGAATGCACTAGTGGCCACGGGAGGTAATGACATGGGTGTCAGCTGTGAGTGCGAAGGGACTGGTGGCTACGGGAATGTTCGAGAAGGGAGCGTGGTTAGGTGACGAAAGAGGACGGTGGAATCTGCCGGTAGAGCGAGCGTCCAGAGTCAGAGAGAATGATCGAGAAGGGGGGGCGTGGCCTCGGTCGGTATATAAGGGAGATGCGCGGGAGACTCGGGGTTGTTGCAGTGGGGTCTCCGTCTGATGTCAAGTGAACGTGTCTTCAATAAAGTGCCATCTCAAGAAAAAGTGTGTCAAGTCGTTGTTACACATGCACACGATCTGTAATGCACTTTGATGCTCTATTAGGTCAACCTGGTGGTCTACATCGCTAGTTCTCAGAGTGTGGTCCATGGACCACGAGGTTGCCCGCGACGCTCCTCCAGGTTGTCCGCGGGGCTTTGATGCGAACGCATGTTGATCCGGACAATAATGGCAATGTTTTTTACCGTTTGTTTTGGACGTCAATTCATATTTTACTCCTGATATTTCATTTAAAAATGAAGTTAGGTAAACTACCCTGATTAAACTACCCTAGCCCTAAGGTGTAAATGCCTATGCACCTCCCCCCACCTCTAAACAGCCTTTGAGCTGTGTTAAAAAAAAATTGTTCTAGTAATACGAATCCTTTTGTATTTCTGGTATACAGAGAGAGAAGTTAATGCGTTTAGTCACCACGAGCGGGGGGCTGGGTGGTTGGCATCGGCTGAGTGGTCCGCGGGTCAAAAGAGTTTGAGAAACACCGCTCTCAAGGAAATATGAGCAGACCTCCAATCTGTCTCCACATACGAATAAAAAAATATTTTAAGTCCATCTTCCGATCGGCTTTTCAGACCAATATTATTCAACAGCATTTGTTTGGACGAGCAAACCCTGCACCGGTTTCGACCTACAGGGTCTCTCTCATCGGCGGTGTCAGGCTTGGTGAACGAATGTTTCCGAACTACCAGATGTTTTCGGCAAGGGCACTTGATCTAAACTATGGGGGGGCCATGATCAATGCAACAACAGCAACAAAAGCAAGTGACGGTTTACAGGAACTCGTTACGCGTCGGTGGTTTACAGATGACATCTCGAGGACGTGCGAGGTCACGCGCTTACCCAGGTAGGGGATGCAGGGGGTCATCTTGAGGCTCTGGATGTACTCTCTCAATCGCGCGTGGTTGTCCTCTTTTGACATCAGGTAGTCGAGCTTATCGAAGGTCGCCTTGTCCCTTCGGCTCAGGCACTGGGCAGTGGAGAGGCAGGGAGGGGCAGCGAGGGCCAAGAGGCAGATATTAGTGAACGGAATCTGCACACACACAAAGACCAAACTACAGGCTCTACTCCAATGATGTATTATTGATTGGTAAAGTTTATCCAAGACCTTGGCCAACACTGATCGTGTGATATCGTGCATGATACACACAGTATTATTCCATTAAAGTGTATTAAAGTACGATGATCTATTGTTGCGCAGCATTATACCATACTTCCACGACCACCACGCTGTCTGCAATGTCCAGCATGGAATTTGGTCAAAAGACTCCGCGACCCACACAGGGCGGGCAGGCCCCTAGCCCAGCAGCGGATAGATACAATATTTTGGATGTAGCATATACAAATGGTCCATTATAATGAGGATTATTTAATTTCCTATAAAATACAAAAATAAAATCCTCAATTTCACAGCACATGAGAAATCTGGCTGGATAACCGTAAAGAAGTATATCACCTGAAATTGAGAATACAACTCGTCCAAAAAGTCAATGCTTTTGTAAAGTTCTCTCCACCAATATGCCAAGTATGTGCATGGCTAAGAATAGGAAAGAATGCAAAAGCTTTGCTACTATATACCAAGTTGATTCACCATGCAAGAAGCTACTTGAAAGTTACAGCAGAATTCTTTGACACAGGTAAATACGTGGTAAATCAGAAAGGTTTTAATCCTAACAGTTCAGATTTTAATGTTTTAAACCCTAAAACCTGAAGTTCAATGTGATATATATATATACACAGTGTTTATTTGAGCACATTTTTCTAGTAAAACGTGGAAATATATTCAAATGCCAAGGGCTAAATTCCTGCTTGACGATGAGTCAACGCTGACAAATACAGCAAGATCTTTGAGAAATTTAGACAAATAGTAACATTAAAAACAGGGCAGCTGCATGTATTCAGGTGTCTTTTGTTTGCAAGTCTTAAGTTCCACACAAGTTCAATGCTACAGAGATTATTTAGCTTCACTTCTCATTATTTAATTTCATCAATGAATTCCCACTGGATGCTAAACAATACCCAAAAATGTAATAATATAATGTGAACGCTCAGATAGATAAAAGGAGTTATTTGTAGTCTGTGTAAATAATTCAGGGCTGGTATATTGTTAAAACCATAATAAACTTTAGCTCGATCAGTGTTATATGAACTCCCGTTGTCATATATAGCTAGGTTATCATTCAGACTTAAAAAAAAACAAGAATAGAAAAATCTTACTAAAATAATTACAGTTTTTCCCCATTTCACACTCGTATTTAGAACAATGCATTTTACAACAAAGACTAAAGCAAGTTTAAAAGAATGAAAAACATTTCCAGGTTTGTGCAGATTGTGGACAGCAACAAAAACACATTTTATTTGACCCATTACATCTGCAATTGTGTGAGTTATTTGTCAACTCAGCTGTGGACGAAATGCCACTCACATTACATAATTTCCTGTCAGTGTAATGCCTTCCCTTTAACAATTATTCTTTCACAGTTTGTTTATTACTCTAAGCTTTTCTTTCACAAACAGATGTTTGCAGTTTTCATCAAATGGGGGAGAGAGAGAGAAAGTCTCCTTGTAACTACGAACACGAACAGCGAACAGCAGCAGCAGGTGGCTCTCATACACACAATCTGTCTGCGCACACGCAAAGGGCGGTCTCCGTCACACAGAAACGTAATTGTTTTCACAAAGAAAAAAAAAAGAGAAAAAAGTATCTGTAGCATTTCCAATGATGTAGCGCCTCTGACCAATTCAGCCGGAATTGCGCGCAATCTCATCGGCTCTCGGTTGCTATGCCGGATTGAACCTGCATTGAACCTAGATTTTAAGAATATTCTGTCAAAAAAAACACTTTAATAGGAGCCTAAATTAAAAATTTAGAGTAATTCTAAATGAACTGTATCAGTCTTCTCTATTCATCACTCTCACCTCTTCGGTGTTGCTAACGATTATGTCTTCTGAATTTCTTCCTTCGTTTCATTTCAATGCAATGTTTATTTGTTACAGAAAAAAACAATTCCATTTAGCCAGTTACCCAGCGAATTTCAGTGGCAGTGGCCCACAAGCTGCTCACAACGGAGTTATTAGAATAAAAACGGAATTATTGTTGGGGTGGAGAGGAACCCAGCCAGCAGTCAGCCAGGAAACTCCAGGCATAGATGTTGTTTTAATCATAGTATGATATACAGTGTAATGGAACTCTAACACTATAAATATGATTGTGATACTGTGTGGGCAGTGGTGCATGAGCACAAACAACATAAATGCAACACATTTGCCAACAATATCGCCTCAAAAGGAAAATATAGAGAAAATAGGTGTTGTGGGGCAATGGCACATCAAGAGGCCAGATAGACTGATGAACACTGTAAAGTTTCGATTTAAAGCTTTCGTGACTGCAGGGATTCATCTTCTTGGTTCTTTCGGTAAAGTCACGTAGAAGGGAAATAATAAAATAATAAAAATCTAACATAATAAAATAAAAATTCTCACGACGTTTCAGCCACAACGCAAGCAGCCGTCCCTCAGGTGAAGAACAGGTCTGTCGGGAAGACAGCGTCTGATTTTATTATTTCCCTTCTACATGACTTTACCGAAAGAACCAAGAAGATGAACACTGTAAGGTGTTTTCCGTTGAATGAAAGAGGTGTGGCCACTTACCGCCCATGTTTTACTGAGGCGGAATATTGGAGCGCTGAGGAGGCCGGAGATTACTGCCATGAGGGCGTGGAGGTTATTTAGCTCGTAAAGTTTCTGCAACACAGTTAGAGGGGGCAAGGCATTTTCAGGTCAATATCAGAGCATTTCAGAGACATCACGAGTTACATCGGCGCAAGTACACAGGACATGTGTGGATGTCAAGGGGCTCAATTCACTTGGCGGTGTGGTGCACATTTAAGACTGGCGGATGGCTCCCTGACTACTGAAGTCAAGAGAAAGGGGCATAAAACACAATGATTAAATCAATATAATTTGTAAATCTCATCCCACGACTCTGCATTCTTAATTACGCATAGCCAACAATGTATATTGAATGGTATTGACCATTAGGAAAAACACGTATTTGCGTAAGACATATAACCACACGAGATAAAGGTCGAAGATGATTGCTGGTAGAAAAAAGACCAAAAGGGTAAAAGCTCTTAAAAGATCTACCAATGAGGAGATGGAGCGAATCACAACACACGTGACATGAGATAATTTCACATGCTTAGTTGAATGTTGATAGTGGATTTGGCAATAATGCCTTGAGCTCACAATGGATTTCAAACATCTCATGATAATCAACATTTTGGTGATCATGGCAATATGTGGAATAAAGGTGTACAATTAAATAAGTCACTCCAAGACAAAACTAAATCAATGTGCATCTTTGCTTGTGGGTTAAAAGGTCTCACTTTGGCGATCTTGATGAAGTGGCTCAAAATTTCAGCTCTGATTTTGAGAGTTTGTGCTTCAAGTATTTCTCGAATTACCCAGAAACTGACCTGGAAAACACAAACAAACACACACACACAAAGATCATGAAGTATTAAGTTGTGCATGATATTCTTTGGGTCTTTCGGTAAAATCACGTAGATATGTTCAAAGAAAATAACAAAAAAAACTACGACGTTTCGATCGCAACACAACCTATCTACGTGATTTGAAGCTTTCGTGAATGCAGGAATCCATACAAAGTCACGTAGGTACCTACGTGACTTTACAGAAAGAACCAAAGAGTATACTATCTACGTGACTTTACCGAAAGAACCAAAGAGTATGAATTCCTGCAGTCACAAAAGCTTTAAGTCAAGATTTGTGCATGATAGTACATGTGTTTATATATTCACTGGCATGGCAGAAAACTACTCATCAATGGCACATTATTTAAAGTGACAAAACGCGATGCGATTAAGCTGGTGTCACGCACTTAAATGAACTCTGCGTACAAATATTGTGACTCCCTGAAATTAATTAAGAGCATTTCTACGAGCCAATTTGTTTTAACCATTAATTAAAACAGGAACGGTATTTCCTCTTCAATAGCTCTTTACTCGAATCACCAGTGCGGGGCACAATAAAACAATATGGGACTGTATATTATGTTTTATTTTTATTATTTTATTACTTCCCTTCTACGTGACTTTACCGAAAGAACCAAGAAGATGAATATGGGACTGCTTTCACTGTACTGTGATAACAGAGTGGAAATGTACGAGACTCAACAGGAACCTTCATTCCAATGCAGGCATAGTTGTATGTGCAGCTGTCGATGTCTCTCTCACTCGCACTATTGAAGGGCTTTCTCTCTTCGAGAAATATCCCATCACACACACGTCTTTAGCGTGGGAATATACTTGCATTTAGGACGTGATGGATATTTGTCAGAAGGGACAAAAAATTGTTTACAAAAATTTGACCAAAATATATAATTACTCACGCAATATGGAATGTCCTGTATGACTAGCAGAAAGCACTTCCCATTTATTGTGAAAACAAAACCTTTGTGTACATTAAACATGCTGAGTGCAAATATGTTTGGCTCCTTACTAAGATGTCATTCACAAGAGTGAACAATTGACAACCACAAGCGATGTTTAATTCAAAAGAATAAGTCCCAAATCTCAAAGATTTGCAACTTGCATGAAGCCCCCACTGACTGAATCCTGGAGACATTCGTTCAACATGACGAAAGGTTAAAGTTGCTTTGACTGCCCTAAATTATCAAAACACTGAAGCCAAATCTGTGACGACGGTAATTCACAGTCATACATGAGAGCCGCATTTCAATAACGTAAAATACTATTTCTAAGGTCAAAAGCATAATTTCAATTAAAAACAACTATTTAAAGAACTCCCAACATAAGACAGCGCTCTTCAATGGGAACACCATACATGGATATAGGAAAACACAGCTGCATGCTCCTAATAAACACAAACGTCACCACAGCGTATGCGGAGCCTATTAGAGCTGCCAATCGTTACACGCACATCCGTCTGCCTATGAAGCGATGCTCACAAGGTTACGCACATGAGTGTTGCCTTGAAAAGTGTTTCTAATTTACACATATGTATTCTTCTTCATTCAGACGCTGTCTTCCCGACAGACCTGTTCTTCACCTGAGGAGGGCTGCTTGCATTGTGGCCGAAACGTCGTGAGAATTATTTTATTATGTTTAATTTTTATCATTTTATTATTTCCCTTCTACGTGACTTTACCGAAAGAACCAAGAAGATGAATCCCTGCAGTCACAAAAGCTTTACATCGAAATTTTATGTTTAATTTGTATTATTTTATTATTTCCCTTCTACGTGACTTTACCGAAAGAACCAAGAAGATGAATCCCTGCAGTCACGAAAGCTTTACATCGAAATATGTATTCTTATTCGTCGTGCGGCTGATATTGATGTAAAGCAACAACAATAAGTTCATATTGAGGTGGTGGAGCCAGATAATTACATCAGGAGCACCTCCGATGAACACAGTTGGCTACGTACGGTGCAAAATAAGCGCAAGATACATACATAGGAGCGGAATATGGCAACCTTCAACGCAGCCCACAACAACCTGGCAACCGAACATCGATGAATGATCGCCCAGTCTCCATAACAAGAACTCAATCATACCGATTGGATACTACGACTGTGTAGGTGTTCACGGTTATGCTGCGCAGCTCTCCGACGTGTCATCGAATTGTGCCGCGTGTTTATCGGCTCTCAAAAATTGCAGCGCACACACGGCACGTGGCGAGAAACGTCGGACATCGTAATGAACAACAGCACAATCTGAAAACGCATTGAAGAGCCACACTGTTTGTATATTTGTAGAGTGTGGTTAGCGTGCGTGCATATGGCAGTAGAAGATTGGGCAACAGTGTGAAGGTCCTGTTGACATATTTACGATTTAAAGCTTTCGTGACCGCAGGGATTAATCTTCTTGGTTCTTTCGGTAAAGTCACGTAGAAAGGAAATAATAAAATAATAAAAATATAACATAATAAAATTATATTATATTATTTTATTATATTATTTCCCTTCTACGTGACTTTACCGAAAGAACCAAGAAGATGAATCCTGTTCACATATTTCCGATTGCTGGTACTGCGTACAAATGGCAACTGGTGCATGAAAACTGCTGTGGGCCTCCCTCCTTCTGGACGACTCGGCCTGAAATGAGTAACAGGTTTTGAAATTGATCACAACTCCTCATTTTGTACCAAGCGAACAGAACCTGCACATTTTGATTTAAAGCTTTCATGACTGCAGGGATTCATATTCTTGGTTCTTTCGGTAAAGTCACGTGACTTTACCGAAAGAACCAAGCATATAGAACCTGTACAGTTTAACACGTCGGCTTTCGCGACCAATATCATCCAAAATAAATGGGTTTTTAATTTTGGGTTAAATCGGGTAAATATATAAATGTGTCGTTAAAACCCACCACCACCCAACACACTTTACCGAAAGAAACAAGAAGATGAATCCCTGCAGTCACGAAAGCTTTAAATCGAAAAATAGACAGGAAGGCAAGTTCAAAGAGCTCGCATTATGCACATGCATCATGTACGTTGCCTCAGTAACCCCCCCCCCCAAATGAAACAGGAAGACTTCTCCACAAATCTGGCTGTCGCCTGATGAAGCTAGTTGTAATTATTGGCGAAGCGTCGTACTCAGTTTGTAAATGTTGTGGCTTGGCTCTCCAACACACCGGTTAGTGCTGTACTAGTGACGAATTGGCCACGTTCTGTTTACGTGACAACCCTTACTAGTTGGCTGTGTCGGGTGGTGGCGGGTTTTAACAACACATTTATATATTTACTCGATCTAACCCCAAAAAAAGTACCTGTACAACAATAATTCGAGGAGCATCCTTTTGTGGTCACGGTATAGTATAACTGATGTGTATATATGTAGGGAAATCGTGTACTGCTAACATATCAACACTTGCTTGATACATAGCTAATAGTGTAAACGGTAACTGGAATGTGTGCCTGGCAATGTCATTCCAAACATCCACCGACCGTGTACTGATCCAAATACTGTTAAATACCTCTAAATCATTTTACGTGTTTTGTTCCACTGCTTGGAGTTATTTTGAGTCAAGTGTGCCTCCGATTGTGAAGTTGAAATGGAAAGGGCTGTAAACGTTTTAATTATTGGCTAGAAGCCACAACGCCAGCCCCATACTCTGCTCATGAGCATATTCCTTGACTTACAAGAAGACCCTTCTCGCGGGGTTTCCTTACATTAAGACACACATTTAACCGATTCGTGTGTCCACCTGTATTCATTTACTGTGCCTTATTGAAGAAGTGAAAATGTTAACACCAGCCACGTTCTACCCACTGCTGGATGAAGGCCTTCCCAAAAGCCATCACCGTCTCTCGCCGTCTCACTATGCAACAATCCATCTAGCTCCAGTACGCGAGTCAATCTCGTTACTCTTATCTCCAAAAGGCGTGCTCCCACCTTTAGCTGCCACTATTGCATTAGTCTCGACCACCGGCCATCATCCATTCTACGCTCGTGTCCTGCCCCAAGCCTACTTTTGCTATACCCAATGACGTCGTCAACTTGCTATGTTCTCGAATCCGAGAAGCATTGGGCTTCCGGTTTGCCGAACAAATACATTACAAGGGCGCACGCGTTACACGAAAAGTGCTTGCCACAAAATGAACCACGATACCTTGCTGATTCTCGTCAAGGAGCAAAAACCAGCACACGAACTCCGGTCATCCTCGCAGCGGCTTTTGGCTCGCCATCGAACAAAGACGGTCACCGCATCGCGCGCCACTTTCAGATACGCTTCTGCGGCCGTCTGGAAAGATCTTCCTTCTGATATTCTTGACAACTCCGATTAGCACGGTTGGCTATGTATGGTGCAAAAGAAGTCCAACGTATACACAATCCAAGTGTTGCTCGTCAGACTGCCCTAACAATGGGAGATTCATCTTTTTGGTTCTTTCGGTAAAGTCACGTAGAAGGGAAGTAATAAAATAATAAAAATAAAACATAATAAAAGAATTATTTTATTATGTTTTATTTTTATTATTTTATTACTTCCCTTCTACGTGACTCTACCGAAAGAACCAAGAAGATGAATCCCTGCAGTCACGAAAGCTTTAAATCGAAAAATGGGAGATTCCATTTGACTGTGCTTCACCAAGCTGGTAAAAATAACCTAAAATGCAATTAAAGTAACTTTTTGAAGATAATATATTAAATGAAAACTCTCTACAGTATATTATTTTGCGCAATAATCAAATCTGGCAAAAAACAGGAATCTTTTAACAGACTGATTACTGATGCAACACAGAAGATTGAAACCAGTCCAGAGTTTGCCTGATTAATGAAATGTTTGCTGGAAAGTATGAGTTTAGAAGACCCATCGGCTAAAATGTACAAGAAATGCATGCAATTTTGCAAGGAGATGAGATTTCCTCCTTGCTCATTATTCATATACAGTATAAAGTAAATATGGGACGCTGCCATGGTGAAAATGGTTAGCGGAAGGGACTTGCGATCCAGTCTGCTGGTTCAATCTTCTGGCACGGTAATTGAATAAATGGGAACATTTCGCCAACACTATCCCCCAGCAGTAGAAATTGTTAGACTACAGCTATTCGATTTTCAGCTCGCATGTCGTTAGGTAAAATGTGGGTACCCAAACCTCTTCCGAGACGTCTGGCCAGTGTGAAAGAGTAGGCCAAAATACCCCCCCCGCCCCCGATGTGTGTATTATGGATGTCGAACTTCTTTCGCACTGTACGTAGCCAAACCGTGCTAATCAGAGGCTCCAAAGCCAACGCAGCTCGCTCTGGTTGGAGGCCTTTCCCGTCAGCAGTGGCGGGAGCAATTTAATTTCAGTGCTGCACATTTTTCCTTTTTGTGAATTAAATGCACTGCAATTAATAAAAGGAGACGTTCATCAATTCACGGTCACCGCAGCTCCCCTCACGTGGTTATGGCATCCATTGAGTGGCCTTTGCGTCCCAAAATAAATTAAAGGGGTTCGCTGCGTTTCAGAAACCGATGACGTGAACACGTCCGGGCCACAGGTGAATGCGTAAAGGATAATTTTGGAAGAAAAAAATATATATATCTGTCAGCTTTCGATTTAAAGCTTTCGTGACTGCAGGGATTCATCTTCTTGGTTCTTTCGGTAAAGTCACGTAGAAGGGAAATAATAAAATTACAATTTTTTTTATTTTTTATCATAAATTATTACCGAAAGAACCAAGAAGATCTGTCAGCTTATTTTGTGCAAGCGTTTAAGCCGAGGTAAAACGTGTCCACAAAAAAACCCAACTAGACACAGTATGTTTAACACGTAGGCTTTCACGACCAGTATTATTAATAATAAAGGCTTTTTGGTTAGATCGCATAAGTATAAATGTGTTGCGACCTCTCCACCACCCGACACGGCCAATCAGTAAAAAATGTGTTACGTTAACAAAACGCATATTAGTTACTTCTTCAGCCCACCGGGGTGTTTGAAGAGTGAATCCACAACATTTCGAATTTGAGTAGTACGACGTTTCGCTGGTAATGATATCCAGCATCTTCGGGCGATTTGCCAGAATAGTGAAGCCATCCACCTGCTTCCGGTCTTAAAAAGTGCAGCAGGACGACATCATCGTTGTTGAACCCCATCACGTTTCGAGATCAGAGGCGGAGGTGGGGGGGGAGGTATTGCAATTATATAATAGATTAGTAATCAGTTAATTAGTATGTGATTCCTCTATAAGAAAATGTAATACGTATTGTGTATTACTTAATAATACGCTTCCAGGCTGCGCTAAGTCTGTAGTTATCAGAGCGGTTAACATTATTGGTATTTCTCTGGTTCAGGGCCATAAACACGAGATGAGTAATGCTTCAAAAACACATTAACGCAGAAAATCACTTTAATGCGAACCTGGCAGTCTCGTAAGTATTTGACATTTTAAATCCTTTATATTAAGTTCACTTGCTTGCGTGCTTGCGTGCTTGCGTGCTTGCGTGCTTGCTTGCTTGCTTACGACCGTGCAAATCTTTCGGTCGTTTTTTTAACCCACTTCCCGTGACCCAATCGAGCTGTCATTTTGCACACAGACTCGTTGTGCGAGACAATTAATGTTCGTGAAAAAATTTTTCCAAAATTTTACACTGTTTAGGGAAATGTTTTAAAATATTTAATTACCAATTGCTTATGGTGGCAGACAATCATCTGACCCATAGGTGGCAACCATCTCAAGCCAGAGGACGAGAGGACTCTAGCCGCCACGCATATAAAGGATTTATAGTGAAAAACTTTGTATGTTGAACTTCTTTTGCACCGTACGTAGCCAACCGCGCTAACTGGATGTGCGGGTTGGAGAGGTGCGGTCTAGAGAGTGTACACACTATGTTAGAACAATGAGCCAGCAACCACTGAGTACTGGGTAAATTTCCCAGCCTTTCAAAAGACTAATCAATGCGCCCAAGTGCACGGCCATCTAATGGTATATAGGCCCTGTCGCTAATGTTTAAAAAGGTAAGTATTTTTTTTGTATAACAAAAACTGTCGGGTGCCCATACTTTAAGCGCTGCTGTAAAAGCCTTTGCCTTGTTTGCTAAAAACACAAATACCATAGCTGAAAACCATGTTGTTAAGTATGCCAAATTTCATATTTTTGCACCATTCAATTATTATCCCAGGACTGCGTACATGCAAAAAAAAAAACAAAATAACTATTTTATTAAGCACATAAATTGTTGCAATATTTTTTTTGTTACGACGATATGAAAAGTTTGAAGCACCATTCCAAGGTAATTATACCTCCCATGCCAAAGCTACTGAAAGTGCATGCTGGGATTGTAAAACACTTGGCTGTGAGAGAAATACGATGATCCCGCTCTTCACTTGCCCAGCATGGACTGATGCTGCTCAACACAACTGGGCCTTCTCACAGGCTTACCGGAATGAACACTGAAAATTAGCACATGGGTTACCGTTAAACCTCCTTTAAAACATATATACAATCTAACAAAACACAGAGCAGCCCAATTACATGTGGCATTCTCCTCACACACATCGAGAAGCCAAGTGAAAACGTAGTTTAAATATTAAACTCTGTTAAGTGATCCTGAAAGAGTTGTAAACGCAATAGGTTCTTTTCCCATTCCCTCGCTCCAAAATGAGTATATATGTGTACATACTTGTGTATTTATTCATCTACTTATTCATATGCTCATTTCTGTTCTGTGTTTTTTTTATATCCCAAGAACTATGAAACTACTATGATGGATTGTTAACATGTGTGTCCTCTTTTCAGTTACATGTCAAGGGAGCAGAGTCTAGACATTTGATGTGATATTATTTTTGGTCACTGCGCATTAGACCGACTGTCTACTCTATGACTGGTTGGGCCCCCGACGGTCGAGCTGAACGTAATCAGGATGGAACATTTGAAAGAAAAAACTGTGTAAATGCAGGAGAAAAGAAACACAACAGCGCATCCATTTACATTAGGGGGAAATTTTTTTTCACAAGTCTAGGAATGTTTATGACCTAATAGATTGCAAGTACGTTCCAACTGAAAACTACAGTCATTGATTGGGAAAGGTTAGCCAAATATTAATCGAAATGATATATGTATGCCTATGTTTGGTATGAAATCTACAAATGTTCCAAGGCCATCTGATTCTAATGAGTGGCTAACATAAGAAAATAACTAAAAATTTCCTATTTCCGATATTTATGCATAACATAAATACTGTTCAATGCGTGAAATTACTTATCCACATGCACAATTACTTACAAAAATAATTCGACTTAAAAAAGTAACTGCACACTGTGGACCTTAATGAACTTTGTATTTGTAACATCCACTCAAGTTGCATGTGTTCTTCATAGACGCTTCAAAGCCCCATCATCTGCATGAAACTTGGATTGGTCATGAAAAAGACAGAACCATAATCTCGACATGTGGGTCTCTGACACTGGGTTTGGCAGGGAGACCGAGACAGAGGGCCTCTGACACTGCGTTTGGCAGGAAGACAGAGACAGAGGGTCTCCGACACTGCGTTTGGCAGGAAGACAGAGACAGAGGGTCTCTGACACTGCGTTTGGCAGGAAGACAGAGACAGAGGGCCTCTGACACTGCGTTTGGCAGGGAGACAGAGACAGAGGGTCTCCGACACTGGATTTGGCACGGAGAAACACGGGAGGCAGAGAGCAAGAGAGGGGGGGGAGAGCGAGAGGGACACTCACGTGGTTGAAGCGGCGAGTGAACGCCACGACGTTGGGCGCCAGGCTGTGTTTCTCCTTGCGGTTCCACCCACAGCTCGAGAGCTCCTGCGAAACACACGGCACAGGCAGCACCTTCCCGATTAAATCTCACTTCAACGGCACATGACAAAGACGGTCTATCTAAGGTTCATACTGCACACACGCGCACACGTGCACACCAAGACCCAGAGCGGGCCTTCCCACGCCGCGTGGGTTGCCGGCGTCGACCCATATTTTCAACCACGCTCATCAATAAATGTGTGGAGCAAAGCCACGGGAGCATAGGAAGTATAGTCCAACAAAGTATTATGCTGCACTGCCCTCTGGCTGCTGACCACGTGGACCACAGCAACCTGACGTGCATTGTGGTCGCCCATCCAGTGACTCTCACATCTCAACCCTGCTTCTGAGATCTAACAGAATCTGAGATCTAACAGAATCGGCGCATTCCGGGTGATTGTGGTAATCGGCCCACACATGTACGCACACAAATATGGGCACATGCCCAGCACTCTTTGCAAATACTTCCGCGTTTAAGTATAACGGTGCATTGATTAAAGGATTTGAAGATGCATTGATTAATGCACATGATGATGCATTGATTAAAGCACGCAACAACGCATTGATTAAAGCATGTAACAATGCATTGATTGATATCAATGCTTATGCTAAGAATACATGAATAAAATTGTGCCAACATTAATCTATTATTTACAAAGTAACCAATATTCATGCAATTTATATGATATTATATTTAGGATAATGTAGTATGCAAACTGTAGAAACAAAACACAAGTCGAACAATTAACAATTCAAAAATCACAAACCAGAATTATGACGATTCATCGAATCTATGGACTGGAGTTGGGGAATTATTACTTGCCAAAGAGACAGTGTGAATTCGATAAGTTGTTTTACTGCTATTTCCTATATAAAGTAACAGCCAAAATGATTGTGAATGAATAGAATCAGACAAAAAGCTATTGCAGAGATGGATACTAAGAATATACTTATGTAATCAATACTGAAACACCCAATGCAACAGCATGCATTACTGCAATAATGAAATAAATAACATAGAGTGAAATAAAAATGCGAAGCTTTTAATTAATTTATCTCGTAGCATTTTATTTTCTTCCTCCTTCAGCTTCACATCTGTCTCCATGCATAATTATGCTGATTTCCCATAGGTGCGGTGGAGTTGAAATGTTTACATGGCACACACAGCATTACAAGGAAAAGCCTCGACATAAACATTACCACAAGCGAGACGTTTGTTACTAACTCAGACAGTCGCTTTCCACTCAGCTACACATTGGCAGGCGTATAAATAACGTTTCAGTAAGACCCATTCCATAGGCTCATGCATTTGGAAATGTTTATGATCATTCACGATACTGTGCCGAAACCCGTCCAGAGTTTGCTTGGACTGAATCAATGTTGCTGAAATGATGCAACTCCCAGAAGGCGGTTGGGAGCCGATGGGTTTTGTAAACATTACTTTTACGTTTTAGGTGAAGGGATGTCCGCTTATTTATATTTTTACACTGCACAGGAATGCATTCATGTCGGCGGTTTGCGTTGGCTATAATCGCAAACAACGAATAACTACTTAACCATTCATAATCAACGTTTTTGGTTTAGATCGCGTTATTTATAAATGTGTCGTAACCCTCCACCACCCGACACGGCCAATCAGTAAAAAAGTGTCACGTTGACAAAGGACAAATAGTTCACTGCTTTAGCCCACCGGTGTGTTGAAGCGTGAAACCACAACATTTACAATTTGAGTACGACGTTTCGCTGTAAATGTTGTGGTTTCACGCTTCAACACACCGGTGGGCTAAAGCAGTGAACTATTTTACCTTTGTCAACGTGACACTTTTTTACTGATTGGCCGTGTCGGGTGGTGGAGGGTTACGACACATTTATAAATAACGCGATCTAAACCCAATAACGTTGATTATGAATAATATTGGTCGCGAAAGCCTACGTGTTAAACTAACTACTTAACCATCTAAATTACTGCCGAGGTCTTTGCTAGTTGGACCACTGGATGAAGACCTCCCCCTCAAGATTTGTTGGTCATTGGCAGTGGTCGACAAACAAAATAACAGGAGCCGCAATGCAATGTGAATGCGAGATGGTGGTCTCTTTAATAAACAAGGGTCACGAGGCGGTCCTTAAAGAGCCGCACGCGGCTCCTGAGCTGCAGGTTGCTGACCGACCACCTGGTCATCGGGTTATTTTTTTAACAGATTTCACTCATGCTGGTTCAGCGCGTGTTGATATATGGTGGGTGCTCTGAACTGGTTAGTATATCACTCTCGCCACTCATGTTAACTATGGCCAGGAATTGAACTCAGGTCATCGGGTTTATGGCGCTGTGCGCGTTAACCGTTGCTCGACCACTCTGCACACATTTTAAACTTCACAAAATCCACACCTTTGAGTGACCAAAGGCGTAAACTAAACAGTGGCTGACTTTACACTGCAACCTAACGAAGCGTTAACAATACAACAAAAAGTATCTGTCCTGCCCAGATTAGTTTCTGTCCAAGGTTAAAGAACGAAAACATAATCGCACATTGTGCATGGCACAAAGCTGCAGTTGTTGTCTTGGCCACCGTGGACACTTCTAATGGGCGCATGTTTACTCAAGAGTAGATTTACAATTGTAAAGCCTTGCTTGGCCTGCGTAAAATCTCACCCCTATCCATGTTAAAAGGGGGCTCTGCCCTCTGACCGGTGACCGTTGCTACTGTTTTTGAAATGTATTCAAAAGCGCCCAGATCAACGACGTGGGGACACCGCAGGAGCTCAGACAGCCTCAGTGGAGCCAACCACGACTTGCTCGCTTTTCTGCAAAGCACAGAAACCTCCAGAGTGATGGGGACGTAGAGGCCTCCACGTGGCTCGGATGCGTGCCATACTTTAGATTCTTTTCCGCATGGATTTTGCGCAGTTGTCTGTTTTACGGCCTACTTTTTACGACCGTCATACGAGTCGTAGTGTGTTTCTTATACCGGGGGGCTGGAGGGGCTAAAAGGCATCTTGGCAGCAGTGTGCATTCAAGTTTGCCGGGAAAAAACAATTCAAATCAGGTGGCTATATGGAGAAATGCATTAAACTAAGACCCCCCTCCTTAATCAACAAAATAGTTTATTATTTTTGGCAAAGGAGCCACACGGAGATGTGACACTTTGTCTAAACGAGAAAGTGAATGCGTATGAATAAATAAGTAAATATTCCTTTGTGGCAGCACACGAAAAATAAAACACGCCGGTTACCATGAAGGCGATTTCATTTCCCGACGCACACAACGCATCGCCAGTGTTTCCTTCGATCACGAGGGATTTCTATATATTTTTTTCTCATCGCCAAGGGTCAATCATGCAGCACCAGCCAGCCAGCCACATTCGCCGGCCGGCCGCCCGCTGCGCTAACACATGCGGCAACGCCGGGAGTTTCAGCTCCATCAGAGCTCTTGCGTTCTCACACACACACAGTCTTACAAAAACCCCTTTTCCATACTCGCGGCCAGAAATGCAACCTTTCCCCCCCCACCCCACCCACGCACATATGTCATGTCAAGCATCATACACTGGGGCAACTTGCCAATGCTCACTTCACAACGGGTTTTTTTTTACTTCCATAGCCTCGTAAATATTACGCAAAACAAACTATTTAAAATCGCTACCACAGCTGTGAAATAGTTAGGCGACCAAGTATACGTAGATATGCAAAACCGTGTAGAACGCACGTAAACATTTTGTGCAAAGATACTGCACAAATAACAGGAGAAAAGCTCCATGAAATACAAAATAAATTGCTCTCAAAATAACACGAATATTTATTGTAGATATTTGCAATGAACTACTACTTGGTAATGATGTGTTTATACAACTTTTTTTATGAACATGTGCACTGGATGGTTATAAGTGGGGGTTAGAAAAGATTCTCGCCAACACCCGTTTGCAAAAACAAAACAAAGAGTACAACAATGGGCCATCGAATACCAGTTGTTTAAAATTGGAACCTCAGTAGCAGCACATTTGAAAGGAGACAACCCAAGGTTCTCCGTGTGCAGTCTCAGCCATGGGGATTTCTACCCAGGAGATTACTTGACATTCAGAGCTAACATCACAAGTCGGGTCATCCAACGTGGCCGCGGAAATTTAGAGGAGGAAAGTTCCCGTTGCGGGAACGTTTCCCGCACTAACAGTACACAGGAACAGCAATGAGTGCTTTACTTCGATTTAAAGCTTTCGTGACTGCAGGGATTCATCTTCTTGGTTCTTTCGGTAAAGTCACGTAGAAGGGATGTAATAAAATAATAAAAATAAAACATAATAAAATAATTCTCACGACATTTCGGCCACAACGCAAGCAGCCGTCCTCAGGTGAAGAACAGGTCTGTCGGAAAGACAACCCAAGGTTCTCCGTTATTATTTTATTATTTCCCTTCTACGTGACTTTACTGAAAGAACCAAGAAGATGAGCGCTTTACTCTTCACTCTTTCCACTGCCAGTGCACGGCTGCAGGACAAGCGTGCATTTTAGCAGGCGTCTTTGAATGTGTCTCCCCTCGTTGGTGCAATTGGACCGTCAAGATTTGGGGATTGCGGTTTTACTCGGTGGTTACAATTTTATTGGTTCCAGAATTCTGCTTGGCCCTTATCTTTACCGTTTGATTTTGTATTATTAATTCTCTTTTTTGGTCCAATCTCTACAGTTTTATTCACTCTGTTAGCATGATTGTAACATTTGCATATATTTGCATGTCATTTACAAAAAAAATCTAAATTATTGATTCTTACATGCAAGCCTCAATGCATGTGGCCTGAGCATTAAATAATTCATTTTAAAATCAACTAACTGATGCATCGGTGCATTCCTAGAATTTGCAGGGCTATGCATATCTTATCTTGCTTGACCAATGTCAATCACCTGCAGGTTAAGAATGTTTTGTGGATGAAACACATACGAGGCTTTATTCCAAAAACAGAATTCCAGATGTGCTGACATTTATGGTTGAAGCTTAGCTGGAACACTGAAGATCATCA